AAGCTTTCAGAGGCAGAAAGAGGTCGGGACTAAGAAGTTAACGGTGGATTATCTCAGGTAAGGACACTTCTTCAAGGAAGGCAGGAGGGTCTCATCAAGCGGATTACCTCACTAGTGGGGATCAGGAAATTCCAGACTGGTTTAAAATTCCACTCCAAGGAGAGGCTGAATCTGCAAATACTTAAGTATTAAATTTAGAGTTGGAATCATGGGCTTTTGGCACAAAGTGACACCATAATGGGCCTGTGGATTTCCCTTTTAATATCACCTAAAAAAAATGAGAATAACAGGACCTACTTCTAAGGTTGTTAGGGGAGTTAAATGATATCAGGAACATGAGGAACACAGAACAGTACAAGACACATATTAAGTTTTTAATAATGTGAGTGACTGATAATTTCCGGTACCCAGCATTGCCAAGCACATAGCAAGAGTTCAATGAATGAATAGTTTATGAAATGAGGGTAAAAAGGAAATTTCAGATCATTCTGGGCAGTTTGATATATTTTTGTATAAATAAAATCAATATGGCTATGTACATATTCATAGGTACTTAAAACATTGATTAGGCCTAGAAGGAGATATAAAAGAATATATACTAAGTTGTTGGCTGTGATCAAACCCATGTAATAGGATATACTCCTTATTTAAAAAAACAAGATTTTAGAAAAATAAAGTTATTGGCATATTCTGAATATAGTGGCAGATAACAAAGTTTATAGCCTATTACAATTTTTCCCTTCTAAAAATTACTGTTCTCCTGTCCAAAATATTTTCATTCAATTTATATTCTTTTTAAAAAAGATTTTATTTATTTATCTTTAGAGGGGAAAGGAAGGAGAGAAGGAGAGAAATATCAATATATGGTTGCCTCTCATGTGTCCCCTGCTAGGAACTGGCCTGCAACCCAGGTATGTGCCGTGACTGGGAATCGAACCCCGTGATCCTTTGGTTCACAGGCCCGCACTCAATCCACTGAGCCACACCAGCCAGGGCCAATTTCTATTCTTTTTCTTCTAGTTCTGAATCTGCCACAATTTGCTATTAATCTTGGAAAAAGTCAGTTCCTTGACTTGCATTACAGCTTTCTCATTCATAAAATGAAGCATATAATCCAGACAGTGCTTCTTAACTAGTGGACTAGGGCATGCTAGTGTCCTGACTATGGGTAAGAAATTGACCCCTCCTGCATTGGGGCAGTTGAGAGGCATCAGGGACAGCCAGAGTCCCCAGGCCAGTAGCAGCCTCATTTAGGGTTCCTCAGGGGTGTCGAGCAGTCTGGGGTGTATGCCAACCACTGTAAACAACAACCAACACTTAACATTCTGTTGTCTGCGCATGGCGGAGGATGCCTGCCGCACGGGCAAGTATCTGCAAAGCCCAGCATGGACCAGACATCCCTGAACCAATGCCCAAGTTTGTGTTCTATGTGCCCAATGGGGACAACACAAAGCTCCAGGAGTAATCTGTCAGGAACTGAGGGAGGAGCCTGGACCGATTGGGGTTCCTGGTGGGCTCAGCTCCAGAGAATGCCCTTAATTATTTGCCTTTACATATTGTGGCTATTTTTATCCCCTTGTGGCAATGCACTCTTTTAATGGCCCTCAGACTAGCTGTTGACAATACACGCATGTTCTCAAAGATACAGTTTCATTGTGGAAATCTTGATATAAAAATGTACTATTGGTTTGGTATCCATTTGCATTATCATATGAAATTGCGACATTACATTTGTCAATAAAAGGAATAGTTGTTATTCCTTAAATGTAATTACAATTGTAAATTTTGAATGATGATAGTCAAAATAATTTAATCATTGAATTAAAACAATATGGCTTTGATTATTTTTTAAAGATTTTATTTATTTATTTTTAGAGAGATGGGAAGGGAGGGAGAAAGAAAGGGAGAGAAACATCAGTGTGTGGTTGCCTCTCATGTGTCCCCCACTGGGGACCCGGCCTGCAACCGAGGCGTGTGCCCTGGCTGGGAATCAAACTGATGACCCTTTGCTTCACAGGCCTGTGCTCAATCCATTGAACTACACCAGCCAGGGCTGGCTTTAATTATTTTATTACCTACTTATGTGGTCAATCCCTCACTGATCATTACTATTCAGAATATGAGTTTATCATTAAAAAGTTGAGATTGGAAACTACATAAAGCCAATCAAACCATAAAACCTAATTATCAAAATATTCATAGGAACAAGTTCAAGATGATCATTAAAAAATGTGGAAAATTTTTATTTGAAAGTTTTATTGAAATGTCATTTTAATATTTTCTCTAATACATTGTATTTTATTTTTAAAAATGCATTGTATTTTATTTTAGCATAATTATCTAATTTAAAGAAAATGTTATGAATTATTTTAACGAACCATCATTTAGATGCTTCCAAATCTTTGTTTATGTAACTTCACGTGCTGCAAAAAAAATTGTTTTCTGTGTGTGCTATGACACGAAAGAAGTTGACAGGCCCCAATATAGGTTATTTATAAAATCTGTCTGCCACTCCATCCCTCCTTAAGATCCTTGTCCCCTGCTCCCCACCCCACATTCTCTCTCTCTCACACACACACATTTTCAAGACAGCCAGGATTACAAGGATAGACAGTAGTTGAGGATCAAGCTTGTGTCCAACAGGGTCAAGAACTCAAGCAGGGATATTTGTATGAAATACTATGTGGCCACAGAACTGGGGATAAACTTAGACAAAAGCATGAACAATAACTAATGTCTAAAAAACCACAGAGAGTCTGGATGAACAATAAATTTGGGTGAACCCAAAGGGAGGAATCTGTATTTTACTCAAGGACAAAAGATATGAATAAATAGACTGACATACCATGTTCCTGGATGGAAGTACTTAGTATCCCATTCCCTGTCATTTCTCAAAGTAATATAAGAATTTAATACAACTCAAAGATGAAAGAATAATAACAGAAGATATAAAAAATAATTCATTAGAAAACACCTACAACATGCCATAAAGTGAAGCCATGTGATCAGTAGTTTTTCATGATCACCCTTGCAGTTTCTCACTGGGTACTTTGGTGTGAATACCATCTTCCTAAGGTCTTTAACTTGTTTCTACATACTCAGAACTAAATCAGAAATCAAGTTATCTATGACTACTACATAGTAATCAAACTCATGAAGCCTTGATGTGTGTGACTTTTTTAAAAAAGATTTTATTTACTATTAGAGAGAGGGGAAGGGAGAGAGAGGGGAAGGGAGAAAGTCAGGGGCAGAAACACGGATCAGTTGCCTCTCTAACTGGGGACCTGGCCCACGACCCACGCATGTGCCCTGACTAGGAAGTGAACAAACGACCTTTCAGTTCACAAGCCGGTGCTCAATCCCTAGAGCCACACCAGCTGGTGGGGGCGGGGACTTAAGCCTTTTTTTTTCTCTCTTCATTGCTTTTAGAGAGTGAGGAAGGGAGGGAGAGAGAAACATCCATTCCAGAGAGAAACATCGGTGGGTTGACCTCTCATTTCTGCCCCAACAGGGGATCAAACCCACAACACCTGCATGTGCCTTGACCCGGAATCAAACCAGAGACCTTCCAGTTTAAGGGACAACAGTTCCAACCCACTGAGCCACAAGGGTCAAGGGTCCAAGCTGTGATAGGCAAATGAGACCCAAAGGGTATAAATTTCCCCAGTCTAGAGTATTGTTTCTGGGTATCAGGAGTGCTTAAAAAGCAGAGTATATAAGTTTGCTTGTGATACGGGAATCAGAGCAACAGGAGGAGGCTAGCTTGGAGGGTTATTTCAACCAAGTTACATTAAGGACTGGTGACTGGTTCTGCCCTGGAACAACGTACCTTTTTGTTCATGTCTGCCAAATAAAACACCTGTTCCACTTGGGCAGTGCTAGATAAAATAAACATTAACAAATTTTATTTTTGTGCTCCCCTTTTCCAAGCTCCAAGCAGACCATTCCCCATTTGTTAACACAAGCTGTTTTAAAAACAATTTACAATATAATTGACTAAATTTCTAATCTTTCCAAGGGAAGACCTGATCAGTTTTAAGACCTTTCTATGGACTGCTACCTTAAAATACAAGGCATTTCTTAGCAGGGAAGGGAGACTTGATGGAACAAAACTGAAGCCCAGTAAGGTCAAATGATTTAAAAATCACTCTAATTGTTAAGTCTCTAATGATCTCATCTATTCCTCTTCACAACACAACTAGTCAATAAGTAGCATACTGGGCGACCCTACTTTTAAAGTCTTGTGTATCATTCAATTCCCTAAATCTCAACCCCCCCCCAAAAAAAAAAAGTTTCTTCAGCTCTTTCTACATTAGGTAGGAAATGTTAAAAAACTAGTGCCAATAGATGAGGTCAGTGAGTACCTAAAGAACTGACCTGGACCAGTCAGTCCTGCCTCAGCTCAAGGGTAAAATTTCAGCATGTCAGCCGCGTTTTGAGGCCTTTCCAATGTGCCCACGATTCGGTATCAAAGGGATTTTTTTCGTAAGGGCCCTCTGAGTGTCCGCCGCAGTGTCAGAAACTGGTTCCCGGCATTCTCGAAACAAGGGAGAAGCAGCCGATGGGCCGTTAAGTGTTTCTAGCAACCTAGACTCCAGGCTAAAACTGAAGTTTTAAGCAAACACTGTTGCTGAAATTAATTCGGATACTCAGACCAAGAAGACTACGTGGGGGAGGGGAAAAAAGCGCGAGGAGAAAAGGAAAGGACTTTTTTTCCGGTGACGCGCGGTCACGCGGAGTTCTTTCGACGTGTGCGCACGCCATTCGCTGAGCACGAGCTGACGTCCCCAAACCCGCCACGGCGCAAAGCACGGTAAGGGCGGCGCCGCAGCACTGGAAGTTGGTGAGGCGCGCGCTCCCGCGGCCTGTCACGCCCCCACGCTCCGCCCGCCAACCCGCTCATCCAGTCCCTCTTCGCGCCTATTTGACCACGCCCCTTTGGTAACTCGCCCCTCCTCCACTAGGCCGGCGGCGCGCGGAAAGCGCGTCACGTGGCGCCTGGCCCCGCCTCTTCCTCTCGGTCCCATATTGAACTCGAGTTGGAAGCGGCGAGTCCGGTCTCAAAATGGAGGTAAAACCGCCGCCCGGTCGCCCCCAGCCCGACTCCGGCCGTCGCCGCCGCCGCCGGGGGGAGGAGGTATTAGGGGGAGAGCGGGGGGGTTGATGGGTAGTGGTCGGCGTAGGGGGCCTGGCTCGGTGGGAGCGGGGAGGCCGGGTGGACTGGTCGGCGGTCCCGCGCTCTGCGTTGAGGCGGGTGGTGGGAGGGGGAGGGGAACGCGCCTCGGAGGCCACCTCGGGGTCCCTCACCCGCCTCGTTTACTCTCTTGGCTGTAAAGGTGGCCCTTCGGAGGTGCGGGGTGGCTGGGGAGAACTCGGGAGGGCAGCCGGCACACCCGCCGTACAACCTCCTATTTGAGGCCGAAGGAAGCATGGCGGGCCTGGGCGGGAGCGGTTGGGAGGAGGAGGTGGGGGAGGGGAGGGGACGAGCAGGCACATCCGGGAGAGCGAGCTGGCGGGCGGCGGCCACATTGACATTGATCCGCTGCCGCGTTACGAAATGGCGCATTGGCCCGCAATGGCCGTCGCCTATCTCTGCCGCTGGGGAAGAGCGCGGGATTGGAAGCAAGAGAAGGAGGTGGCCTGGCAGAAAGTGCCGCAAATGGCCTGGAATCTTAGGGCGCGGTGCTTTTCCTGCAGTTCTGTTCGCGCCTGCGTAGGCTTTGCAGACTTACGACGAGATTTTTTTTTGTCAGCATTCAGTTAAAATAAAAATTTTTAAAAGTTTGCTGCTTTGTAATACTTTCTGATCTGTTCTTGCTGAAGTAATTAGAATTAAACATGTCTTTTCCCCATGGTAAAATGGGAGCTTGAAAAAAATTTTATGGGTTTTAGGAAGAGATCGAATTGTTGCATTTATTTATTCAATTCATTGGTTGAGCCTCATGTGCGTTGGGTCCAGCGATGGAGCCCACAATCGTGTATGTAGGGAGAATGGTCTTACGGAGCATTTGGCATGTAGGGAGAATGCTCTTGAGCTACCTAGCGAATTTTGAATTTTGTTTATTGATTTGAGGAAGAAAAACAACAATTTGTTGTTCTATTTACTGCTGCTTTTATTGGTTGATTGTAGTACGTGCCCTGACCGGTGGTTGAATGTGCAACCTTGGCGTATGGGGAGGTATACTCTAACCAACTGAGTTTCCTGGTCAAGGCTGAAATTTTACCTTGATTTTCCTCATGGGTCTGGCTATAGTTTGTGTGTTTATTTTAGAGTACCTCAACCACAGATGAAGTTTTCATGTGCTCGAGATAATTTTATGTGGGGTATGGTTGGGTATTTTTGTTTTTTGTTCATTTTGTCAATTTGGTGTTCCTGATTAAATGCATTTAACCAGGACTTGAGAAGATAAAAAGTAAGAGAAGTAATGCTTTAGGTTATTCATCTTTTAACACTTTTTTCTAGCAGGGGACAGTCTCTTCATAGTAAGTGCCTTAAGCTCTGTACCTTTAGAAGACACAGGAAGACGTTAGAATGTAAATGTGAGCCCCTTTATGTAAGGACTTTGGATGAATGCTATGTAAATGCGTGTATTAAATGGCAATTTATGTAATTTATTTAAAATCTGGTTAAATTGTTTAACTGTTAAGTCCACATCTAAAAAAAGGTCTAAATTTAGATTCCACATCTAAAATGAAATTCTTTTCACGCATAAATTTTAACTGCAGTTTGCCTTTTTTTGTGACCCTATAAAATGTATGTGGAAATTTTGCTAAGTGATACAAGTGCTGCACGTAATTGGTTAAAAATTGGTTACAGGAAATCATCAAGAACCATGGGTGTTTTTTTTTTTTTTTGTCTGTTTTTGCAGGGGGAGATTAGCTTTTTTTTTTTTCCTTTAATGAAAATACTTACTTTAATATTGTCTTGATTTGCTTGTAACCGTTGGGTTTCTTTAAATTTGCCACTGAAGACTTCTAGCTTGCATCTCACACAGCTTTGTGGTTTAAAGTTAAATGGTGGACAGGAAAAGAAGTGGAATGGATGAAACACTGCTTCTACGGCACTTTGGTTTCTTATAAAGCAGTTTTTCAGCATCATCTGAAATCCATCCTCAGGCACTTTTGTAGCTTGAAATTAAGGGACTTTCGATTCTAGGATTCCCTTGGACCTCATTTTAGTTGAAGTGCTGATATTTGGAAGGCTGGTTATAGGTTTTCTTGGTATTTTGATTCCTTTAATAAACATGAGATTTGTGTGATCCTTTTCCAATTTTTAACTGAACAAAGTATTAATGATACAGCATTTGATAGTTTATATTTGAGTGGAGTAAAGGCTTGTACATCTTAACAATTTACCTACTAAAAGAAATAATTAAAGTACATTGGTTTGTTTTCTTAGGGCCACGATCCAAAGGAACCAGAGCAGTTGAGAAAACTGTTTATTGGTGGCTTGAGCTTTGAAACTACAGATGATAGTTTAAGAGAACATTTTGAGAAATGGGGCACTCTCACAGATTGTGTGGTAAGTTACTAAAGAAACAAAGATTCTAGAAAGGGGTAGAGGACTTGTGGAGGTGTGTGTCAATGCTTTAAATTTTTTATTTTGTAGGTGATGAGAGACCCTCAAACAAAACGTTCCCGGGGCTTTGGTTTTGTCACTTACTCTTGTGTTGAGGAGGTGGATGCAGCCATGTGCGCTCGACCACACAAGGTCGATGGGCGTGTAGTGGAACCAAAGAGAGCTGTTTCTAGAGAGGTATTTTAATTCCATGTTGTGTAACACGTTAAAATGTAAAAAATTGTTTTGTGGGGGGTTTTGTTTGGTTGGCTGGGGTTTTTGTTTTTTCTTTTTTTACTTACATGTTTTGTACTAACAGGATTCTGTTAAGCCTGGTGCCCATCTAACAGTGAAGAAAATTTTTGTTGGTGGTATTAAAGAAGATACAGAAGAGTATAATTTGAGAGACTACTTTGAAAAGTATGGCAAAATTGAAACCATAGAAGTTATGGAAGATAGGCAGAGTGGGAAAAAAAGAGGATTTGCTTTTGTAACTTTTGATGATCATGATACAGTTGATAAAATTGTTGGTAAGTAAGAACTTTAATAAGAAAGTGGAAGAGGCTTTTTCTACTCTAAATTTGCCGTTTCTACTCTAATATTACATTGCATTGTGGCATATAAAGTATGTGATTCAGTTTTCATGAAGTGAGTACACTTTTGTGTAGCCAGCCTGCAGATCAGAAATAAACATTAACATCCTAGAGTACTCCCTCATCCCCACTCAGAAGTCACTACCTTCTTGATACTATTTTAATGGTGCATAATGCTGAAGGATATCATTTATATGTGCTTTTTCAAACATCAAATAACTTTTGTTTGTTTGATTTAAAAAAATTTAGTTCAGAAATACCACACTATTAATGGGCATAATTGTGAAGTGAAAAAGGCCCTTTCTAAACAAGAAATGCAGTCTGCTGGATCGCAAAGAGGTGAGTAGTACCAAATGTACTTAAACAGTAAATGTGAGTGGTGTTTATAATGTTCTTAAAGATTTTCCTTGCCTGTGTTAAAGGCCGTGGAGGTGGATCTGGAAACTTTATGGGTCGTGGAGGAAACTTTGGAGGTGGTGGAGGAAACTTTGGCCGTGGTGGAAACTTTGGTGGAAGAGGTAGGGTGGTTATCTTAGTTTTAAGTGTGTGTCTACCTAAAATTTCTTGTAAGTTGAATGTTACTCTTGTAACTCATACCTTGATTTTCCTCAGGAGGTTATGGTGGAGGTGGCAGCAGAGGTAGTTATGGAGGAGGTGATGGTGGATATAATGGATTTGGAGGTGATGGTAAGTTTTTTAAAAAACTGATACTTTGACTTTGTTTCCTATGCTCTATTGTAAACTAGGTATTTTAATTTTTTAAATTTTAGTCAAAACTTAAATGGCTTAGTGGTTAAAGTATGCCTCTGAGCCAATATAGTAGATGACTTTTTTCCTGTTAAGATTAACATTAGCTAATTATTTTTTGGCTAATTAGGTTTATTATACTAATTAATCGATCTGCCGTTATATCTCAGGAGACTGTTTACTATTTTCTTCAGTGAATTGAAAAAGAATTTAATTTAACATCAAAAGTATAAGCATTTAAATTCTAACTAGCCCAGATTTTTGGTTCTGTTAACCAGGCTTTAAGTGCTAAATCAATTCATGGGCTTGCTCTTCAGTGGCTTAAATGGAATATAAATTATAGTTTAATAAGTTGACTTTCTATACATTTGTGTATATGACCCTCTTTTTCTTTTCTCTCTCTCTCTCTTTTTTTTTTTAAGGTGGCAACTATGGCAGTGGACCTGGTTACAGTAGTAGAGGAGGCTATGGTGGTGGACCAGGATATGGAAACCAAGGTGGTGGATATGGTGGTGGTGGAGGATATGATGGTTACAATGAAGGGGGAAATTTTGGTGGTAAGTTTTCGCTTGTTTATATAGTTATATTACAGGTGTTTAAAAGTGTTAAAATGTAGCATTTGGTGGAATTTCATGTTGTGTAAAATTAGAAAGCTCAGTTGATAGATAGTTGAACTGAATTTCCTTAATGTGCTTGTTATATAGTAAATTGGTAGAACGTATTCAACTATTTGTACTTGGAATGGACGTTTATTGGTGATATACTTATTGCCAGAATTTTACCTAACTTCAAGCACTTCTAAACTGGACAGATGGGAACAGAAAATGGTTAAAATAAATAGGATGTCATCTGGGGTCTAACTGATAAGAGTGCTTTTAATCTGAATGTGTCATACAAATTATAAGGAAGACTGCATCATTACTCTGATACTCAGTGACGAGTTTTGTTACCAATGCACTGAGTTTCAGACTGTATTAATTCAGCAACAGTAGGTTTTTCTTAACAGTTAACTTAGAATACATTCTGTCACTGATTTAAAAGTTATATTGCATCAGAATTAAAGTGAATTAAACTGACAGTTTTGATGTTAGTGGTAAGAAGGAGAGAATACAGAATAGAATGTAGAATCAAACAATTCGACGGCTGTCTAGATAATGCTCTTGGGACCACCTTCCACTCTTTCTTTTCTTACCCATGTCTGAGATTTACTAGAGAACTTCCTCAGATGAGGAGTTCGGTAGCTTTGTAAAATCTCTTTTTAAAGGGTGAATGTAAGTGTTGTAGAGTATGCTGCCATAATTGTTAAGATGGTGTACATATATTAGAAGAAGGAAATAATTATTGTATTAGTTAATCAATTTAAAACTTTGTAATTTCAGGTAACTACGGTGGTGGTGGTGGTGGGAACTATAATGATTTTGGAAATTATAGTGGACAACAGCAGTCAAATTATGGACCCATGAAGGGGGGCAGTTTTGGTGGAAGAAGCTCGGGCAGCCCCTATGGTGGTAAGTGATTTTTTTATCAAAATTCTTTGTAACTCTTAAATTTACAAATTCCTGTATATTTCTTTTAAAATTCTCTACGTGTATATTTCCAGGTGGTTATGGATCTGGTGGTGGAAGTGGTGGATATGGTAGCAGAAGGTTCTAAAAACTCAGCAGAAAAGGGTAGGTATCTTTTAAATTTCTATTATGATGATAAAAACATATGTGGAACTGTTCACTGAGTGTAATAATTTTTTTATCCTGTATTATTCAACAGGCTACAGTTCTTAGCAGGAGAGAGAGCGAGGAGTTGTCAGGAAAGCTGCAGGTTACTTTGAGACAGTCGTCCCAAATGCATTAGAGGAACTGTAAAAATCTGCCACAGAAGGAGCGATGATCCATAGTCAGAAAAGTTACTGCAGCTTAAACAGGAAACCCTTCTTGTTCAGGACTGTCATAGCCACAGTTTGCAAAAAGTGCAGCTATTGATTAATGCAATGTAGTGTCAATTAGATGTACATTCCTGAGGTCTTTTATCTGTTGTAGCTTTGTCTTTTTCTTTTTCTTTTCATTACATCAGGTATATTGCCCTGTAAATTGTGGTAGTGGTACCAGGAATAAAAAATTAAGGAATTTTTAACTTTTCAATATTTGTGTAGTTCAGTTTTTCTACATTTTAGTACAGAAACTTTAACAAAATGCAGTTTTGAAGGTGTTTCCTTGTGAGTTAACAAGTAAAGAAGACCATTGTTAATCACTATTTTGTATGAATTTTGCTAAAGTTAACTGTAAAGAAACACCTGCTGACTTGCAGTTTAAGGGGAATCTATTCTCCCCATTTCCAAACCATGAAATGAATGGGCTCTGACATGTGGAGAGAATAGATATTTGTATGTTTGCATTGTGTGTTTTAGATAAATAGAATTGGGTATTTAAATTAGAATATTTGTGACTTTAATAGCATTAAGATTTACCTTCAAATGAAAAAAATCTCAAAATTCCTATTTGGTTTTGTGCATTTTTTCCCCCCAAAAAATGTAATCATGACTTTAGTGTGTTAGCTTTGCTGAGAGTCCTAGCCGTGTTTAGAACGTCTCCATTCTACATTCACCTTGGTCACATGTGAACTGCTGCCATAGTTTTATTTGGGTGTAAAGAATGTCTACTGCCCTCTTTTAATTCTGCAAAGAGGTAGTGGATGTTTTTCCTTCATTAAAAGTCATTCTTAAAAACTCAAAATACAGGACCACTAAGCCTCTGCTGTATCTGAGCAAATTGGTGGCTACCTTTTTTCTTTTTTAAAGCACAAGAGGCCCATAAATCTTCAGTTACTTTCTTTGGTTTAATATATATTTTTTTGATATAAACTCTCAAAGCAAGAGAATAAAAATCACGCATTGTTGAACCCTTAACTGGCTGGCATGCTTTCCTGTTTGTACCCTCTACGTGTTACTGGATGGAACAAAGGACAGTCTAGATCAAATTGACACACATGACTCAATGTAGAAGTGTAACCACAGTTGCTTTAGTATGAAGTTTCCACTTTCCAAAGACCTGAATTTAAATTTGGATCGTCTTGAGTTCTATTCAAAATCCCAAAGAACACACTGTTATTCTATGTGTATGCTTGAACCTAAACCATGTTGATATAAGATAATTTGTTTGGAAAACCGTGGGAGAGAAGATCTTTAGATGATAAGGTCGTATATATATATACATATATATAAACATCAATGTTTACTGTTTCGCGCCAGCCTAGTGCTTAAAATTTCATTCAAGCCCTCAGTATGTGCCCTGCTGTTATTATTTCTTTGGTAGTTGAACATTGAATTCAAGGTTCTTATTTTTGTTTTAAGAAGTACCAAGCAAAAGAAGCAATAAAAAGGGGAATGGGGCGTGCTAGTGTTTGCATATGCTCTCTTGTTGCTCTAATTCTGTGCCTCTGTGCATTAATATTTGGATGCATGCAATGCCAGCATGGAAATCGGTCTTCACAGATACTACAGTTTTCCAGAAAACACTCACAAACCAATAAATGTAACAGACAACATGCCATTTGTTAATGGACGAATGTGAATAAGCAGCATAGAAAATAGGCAATAATAGAAAATGGTTAAGTCTTTAACAACTGCAAGTGTGGTTATTATATAAATGGACACTGTCAATGTTTATAACTTAAACCTGGGTACCTGGTCAAAATAATGCTTGGGAAAGATTTTATTAAAATTGAGCTGAATTGTCTCAAGTTCTTTTATTCATATAATACAGGTTGAAGGAATGGGGGGGATGTTAACATTTCCTGTTTCTGTGTTTGTGGAATTGTTTGACACAACCTTGACAGTATCCTTGAATGGCATATGAAGTCAATTGTACTGTTAACGAACTTTCTGTGTTCTGGAACTAGTTTAATAGTGAAAATATTTTCAGTAAGTTGATGTTTGCAACCTATAAGCAGGTGAAATTGTGTATGTAACCTGTTTATAAGTTGTATTAGCTTAGTTCTTGTGAACAGTGTGGAAAAGTAAGCCATGAGGAGAGCGATTTAACCAGCTTTAAAGGACCTAAGATGTGCTTTTTAAAGCACAGTGTGGATCAAAGGAGAATTCCCTAAGACAGGACTTCAGCAGCCTTTGAGTATGGACAAGTCAGCATAAATAAAGAATGACAAGGCAGCAGCAGCAAGAGCTTCAACTACAGAGAAGTGAAGGCATAAGATACTATGATGATAGTGAGCAACTTTACAAAAGCTAGTTAAATCTGCTTATTACAACTGAAATATCGAAGAAGGTCTAGCAGGAAGGAGCTCTTCGCCTTTTGGAACATCAATGAGAGATAGTTGCCACAGTCACTAGGTCTAGCATTTAGACCTGCAAGGAAGGGCAATAAGCATTAGGTAAGGCTTGAATTTGAATTTTTTCACTAATTAAAGAGTAATTTTTTGTAAAGCAAGGTAAGAGTAATCTTTTTGATTTGCAGGTTGAATGAGAACCCTACTTGCCTAAATGAGGAATGTCTTTCCTACCATCTTAAATACGAAGGTTTCTGGCTGGGTAAGGTTTGTAGCTCACAGTAAAACCTGATGACACCATTTGTTTCCCTACAAATTTCCATTATACACTTAAAATTGTTAGGTACATTAGCAAAGCTGTTCAGCTCAAACTGCATTTTGGAACCACATCTAAATGTTTTTAAACAGTTCTTAAAATTTTTCCCTGCAATAACCATGAGTGTTCATGTGGAATGAGATGTGGCCCCATGTACAGAATCCATCATTGGTGTCTTTAGGTAGGGTAAAGTCAGTTTTTGATGAGAAAGAAAGGGAGTAACCTCAGATTTTGCAGGATTTTTGTAATGAGCATGACTTAGTTGTAACAAACATGAAGCTGCCAATCCTAGGAAAAACACCTTGGAGTGAACTTTTTAAATTGCCAGATGATGTAAATACCAAAATAGTTTCCATTAAGGGATTTCATATATAAGTTCTCTTGACTATCAAATCAGGGAATTACTTGGACTAAAGAATAAATATTTGGTCTTTTTCTGTTTTATTTTTTAAATGTCATTTAACATGATCAGCAGAAGCAGTGGGGACCTAATTACACTAACACTCATTTTTAAAAGACAACTTCCCAAAGAACAATTAAACTTACTGTTCAAATTATATTCTGATTTCATAAGGTCTGTTGCTGCCCCAAAAAGCCTTGTCAAAAATTGAGATTTGCTGTTAATTCACTTAAAAAACAAAAACACTTGAGGGGTGTTTAAAACTAGTTTTTAAATTATACATAAATGAGATTCTTTCATAAACAGGAGTAAGTTTGCCCAGAGTTTATTCTCACAGAATGACTGGTGGTGTCTGTTTATCTAAATTGGGACTAAATTTCTACATATCACTGTAGAACTGAAGTGTCGAACAAGGTAATTTACTTAACACATTTTCTTTATAACAGTTTTAGTGGAGCAAATTTCCTAAGGAAACATTTTTAAAGGTGGTGTTTTTGGTCCATCTCATTATGAAATAAAGTGATTTGATTTAAATGTAGTTACACTGTCATTTATGAAAAATACAGTTCTTAATGGTACTAGTAAACAATTCACAAGGGAAATAAATGGTCAAGGCAAACTTCACTGGTTTTGTCAAAGCAGCTCACAGATTACTGCCTTCTACCCCCCCCCCTTTTTTTTTAAGCATTTCCCACCTGTCCTAAAGATAATAGAGACCATTTGTTACGGAACTATTAAACAATTGAGATAACCTTGGTTTTAAGAGTCCGGCTATAGAAGTCACAATTTGATGTCATGAAATGGGGAATAAGCATGCTAATGTACAGGGGTAATGTAAGGATTGTTAGCTTATATATAAGTATTCACAGTTTTAAATTTCAATGTTTTCTGATTTTTAAGACGTAAGAGGTGGTCTGTAATGGATTCAAATGTTTCATTTGTAGGATACTGAAATGTTTACAGAAAGATAACTTTTTCATTAAAATATTTTTAGAAATGTGTGTGTTGTTTTGTCACTTCACATTGTTCATCTTACTTAAATGCTGTAGGTGAATATGACATAGTTTACTAGTAAGTAAGAAAACAACGGGAAACTTGGAAGGAAGGAGCCTTTACATGTCAATATTAAAAGTGGGTTCTGTTCAGTAGAAAACAATGGTCTTGGAAATCAGCATGGAAAAGTATCTTTAAAAGCTTACTGCCAATTAAGGATTTAAGCCTTTTAAAAGACTACGATTCTGGGAGAAACATGTAGTTAAGGATAACTGCAATGTCCAATTTTAAAGACAGTCGAGCAAGTGGAAAAACGAAGGATGAAAGGGGATTCCATCCAGATGCTGGAAATACTGGGTTTCTTTAAGGCAGTGAATTTTTTTGTGCTTCTAAGGATGGGTTGGACAACATGCTTTTTAAATAAATGGCAATTAAAATTTGGTAAGTTTGTGAGGTGGGGTTTTGATAAATGAGAAAAACAACATGGATTCTTAGCATTAATGGCTGTTAAGATCATGATAAGTAACAATTTGAACTGCAGCCATGTGGAGACAGGATTGCAACACATGAAGTATTAAAATAGTGCAGGCAGGGATTTCACATATAGCTGTACCTTATAATTCCAGCAATACTTTAATTCCAAACGCTCAGGATTTGACTTACAGCAAAATATTTTTTTCAAATGAAAATACATCGTTACTTGAAACTAAAATATTTGGATAAGGTAAATTAGAATTATACATGTACTCACTGCAGACCAGTTTTTTTTAAGATTACAGTTACTTTTGCAAGAGGGGTCCTGATGAGGTTGACACGTAGAATTGAAAGTGCCAAGGGTTCAGGCAGTAAGGTAATAGTTAAAATATTTGCATGTCAGATTTTCAAATAACAATGGCAAGGGTGTGTTAAGATTTTCACAAGATAAATGGGCACAGTACTGAAAACCAAGTAAAGGGAACTTACCTATATTTGACTTATTGGTAAATAATGGATGTGTAGTGGCTTTAAGTATTTTAAAAGCTGGTTAGATTTCACTTAAGTCATTACAAAGCATACTTAAAGGGCTTATGAGGGATGGGAGATTTTTACAAATGTTAGCCATATCTGAAGCAAAATAGGTAATTTATATAAATACTAGTCTATGCAGTCAGATGTTGAATAAACAATCCTTTACAGGGGTGTCCAACTTTTTGGTGTCTGGCATGTTACATTGCAGTACATGATAACGAAAAATCATAACTGTTAAATACTTGATCTTGGGTGGTGTATTTGAGTTTGATTTGTTACCCCCCTTTATACACCTTCATTTAATAGGTACTGGGGCAGATGCTACTAGGTTTTGCCTAACTGAAAACTTGAGAAGCACAACTTATGTAGTTCTGTGAGCTTGAGCAAGTTATTTGGAGCTTAAAATTTTATTCTATGCCATACTACCCCCCTTGGCAGTTTGATGATGCCAGCTGACCCCCGTAGAAGGTTGATTTTATATGCATTAAGTATGTAGGTAAAAGCATTACACTGAACATCTAAAAATATTTGACTTGGTAAGGTGTGCCTTGAAAGGGGGCCAGCTAGTGGTAAGTCAAATAATTGGGATACATATATGGTATTTTGAGGTGTTTGGCAACAGTAATGTGATTTGATGACAGTCACTAGTGTGATTTGCTACCCATATGGAGAATGTTGAATTTCACTGATGCTACCAAAAGTAATTTTGTCCCTGTCCAATTTCTTGGCCCTAAGTTCTGCCCAGGTTAAAAATATTTCTAACTGTGTGTGTGTAAATAGACATAATACCCATCCCCATTGAGTTTGTTGGGAGTTTGTTGGTTAAATGTAAAAATGGACCAAAGAGCTAAACTTAGTTCCTGGTCCATGGTCTCTGAACATATTTTTGATAATCATGGGTACTGTCTTATGTCCTGAAGCATACATACACAACCTTTTAAAGGGTGACAAAGGTAATTATGCCAGTGTCATCTCCACAAATGATTCAAGTTTTTATGGTCTTTTAAAGTTTTTCCAGTTCTGAAAGTGAAAGCTGAAACAGGTCTGCCAAGTAGCCTTCAGATAGGAAAGAATTGTGTATGCTGGAGGATTAAAAGCAAACGAATGGATATGGGAAGTACTACAGGATACATTTATGCAGCCTTCCCATCCCTTGGAAGCAGACTTGAGAAATCTCAGCAATAGAATGGTTTATATGAAATGCACTATCATTCAATTAAGGTTTCTAATGAAATGCTTGATACACCTCAATGTAAAACGCATGGATACATAATTTTGAATTAGAAACAGTTCAAGTAAGGGTTAGCAATTAGTCAAATTTAATCTGAGGACACAAAGCTCAAATATTTCAAATCAGATTAAGTGGTGAAACCTTTATTTTTTTTTAGTCATGGGTAAATTAGGATTTGTTATACACATGCAGACCTCAAATACTGTGGGTTGGTTCCCCAGCACCCCAGTGAACTGCAATCTTTGGTGGTGGAGGATCTTGCCTTAGATTTGTAAAATATCTGAAGTACAATAAAGCAAAGCATGATAAACAAGGTGTGCCCATTTTTAAGTGGTTTAGTTTCTAATACACAGTATGTCTAGTAGTTAAAAGTATCTTTTAGTTACATAAACTTGACTACATTAACTTGACAGAATATTTTGAAATTTGATTAATTTTTTAAAAAATGCTGTGTTGTGAGCAAAGGAATCTGCTCTCAGGCTAGTGAAGTCTGTTTTGGTCTGTCCAGTGGTGCTCTCCCTTGAAGTAGGTGACAGCCAATTCCAGGTCCTCCAGACAGGGCTGCTGGGAAGGGCCAGCGTCCCCCAACTCCACCCCCTCCCACAATTTTGCTTAGTGTACTTTATTCAAGATTTGAAATTTTTGTCTCAAGATTGGAAAATTCGTCTGCGGGGATCTAGTCACCACCATTACAGGAAGAAACTTCTTATTTTCCTCGTTCTGTTGCTTTGGGGGTGGAAATTCTTAACCAACCAAGGAAAGTCAGCACAATCTTCACATTTGAATGTCTAGAGCCATTACCTTAAGTCACTTGAAGCCTGAGCTTCCCAGTCATCAAAACCAACTTCAATTTAGCTAATTGGACTTCACTTTTTTCACTTGCAACCAGAAAGCATCCTCATACAAGGCTAAAGAAAAGGAGAACACGCTCATTTGTAAAGTGTGTAGGCTCAGTAGTATCCTCTACAGTCCCAGGGGGCCAACCTTTCGGCATCTCTGGGCCACACTGAAAGAAGAGTTTTCTTGGACCACACATTAAATACATTGTGACACAGTCACACAAAATACGTTTTACGTGAATTTACAAATCTGTTGGGCTGCATTCATAGCCACCCCAGGCCATGGGTTGGACATGCCTGCTTACAGATGAGGAAACAAGCCTGACTGCTTTGAGGTTCTGGGGGTCATTCTGGAATGGCAGCAACAAGCCCGGGTCATCTGGCTCTAGAGCCCGTGGACCTCTGCACTTCATTTTTCCTAATGGGTAGATAGCACTCTGAATAGTTTGCACATGGTGCTTATCCTAAACCTGCTTAACCCTCAAACCATTTCTCCACTTGAAAACAAAACCAACCTAAACACATTGGTTTAGGTGAGGAAATAGTCAATGCTGTCAATGGTTTATTTGGCAGCAGAAAGATTTTCAGTTTTGAGGGGGTCTTGATTTTGTACTTGATATTTTTGTTTGCAAGCTGGTGCTGAATCCACTGAGGCAGACCAGCCAGGGTAAGATTAAACATTTTAAATGAGCTGACTTTTCTCACCTAGACCTCCCTGTAACTAGTCTCTATTGCTGGGCAACTCTGTTCTTGAAGATATTCAAGTCTTCGATTCCACTTTCACCCCACATAGAGTGTCAAGAAATCCACCTAGTTAGTTACCTTCGAAATGTAGGATTCAATGCCTTACTATCACCCTGGACCTAGACACCAAATTTCCTATTTTCAACTAAATCTTTCATGTGAGTATTGCAGAGCCTTTCCATTGGTCTCCCTGCTCCTACATTCACCCTCTAGACCAGGGGTGTCAAACTCATTTTCACTGGGGGCTACATCAGTCTCGGTTCTTTCAAAGGGCCAAATGTAATTTGAGGACCGCAAAATGTAACTACCCTTAACAGTTAAGAGCTCAGTGCTGCCGCCAGGTAACAAGGTGGAGAGCCCGATTTATGGGCCCTCAGGCCTTGTGTCTGCTACCTATGTTCTAGACTATTCTCAACACACAAGGCAGATGTTACTTCTATTCGACACCTTTTCTTCTCTATTGTCAGCCATATAGAGAATATTTTTCTCAAGCCTCAGAGACTTTGGACTTGCTGTGTCTTGGGTGAAATACTCTTTTCAGCAAACAGGATGGGTTTCCCACACCTTCAAATACTGCCATCTCAGTAAGGTTTTTCCTATTTACAACCCTATTCTAAGTCACGATGACTTTTTGCTGATCTTCCCAGACCTTTCTGGCATAGTATAGTACATTTGCTGTCTTTGTCCACTAGTTCTAGGAGGACAGGGTTTCCATTTTGTCTTTTTACTTTATTTTTAAGATTTTAGGAGAAGGGAAGGAGGGAGAAGGAGAGAAACAACAATCTGTGGGAGATTATGTTGACTGGTTGCCTCTCACACGCTGCCAAATGGGGACCTGGCCTGCTGGGACTTGAACCTATGACTTTCTGGTTCTCGGGCCAGCACACAACCCACTGAGCCACACCAGCCAGGGCTGTCCTCTGTACTTTAAACAATACCTAGCACATAGTTTTCATGTCAAGATAGACCATTTTCCTTGTTTGAAATGTGCCTACTATTGAAGTAATAAAATATCTTTTTGATATATTTCAGTTTTCTATATCTCTGAGTAAACATTCTGAAAATGCAAAACACCTAAATGTACTAAATGTATTGTCATTTAAAATACTGTGAATAAACTCGAATGAATTACAAGAAATTTTAACAATCATAATATTTATTAGTACAGCTTTTCCACTAAATTTTTTTTTGCCAGAGCTAAACAATTTAATATAAAAAAGGCCATTTCTTTGTTCATATAATATTTATAAAAAAGTACATAGTGGTTAGTTTTGCAACAATTTGCTTTTAGCCAGATGTCAAAACATATAAATCTATGAATGTAACAAATGAGATAAGAACAGTATGACTAAGTTTTTGTAGTATTTACACGCGTACAGAAACTATCTCAAATGGTGCTCTAAGAAATTAAGTTTGCAGTTAAAGTGAAACTGATTTCAGCATACTGATAACATTTAATGCTTTTAAAATTTTATATTCTACTTTAGTTTTGACTATAATTTTGCATAGAATTATAAAGTATTTCTGCATTTCACATCACAGTAGGAGCTTTTAGTATACATAACAGTACACACACACACACACACACACACACAACTAGCTCAGAAAAGGTCAGATCTTCCCATACCTAGTTTTTCTTAACATCTGGCCTCTTGCTCTTGGGAACAAGGAATACATTGCCATCTCTCGTTTGCTGCAGGGAGTATTCACTGGGAGAGTAAGGTTTTCCATCTTCATCTCGGAGCATGCTGAAGACTTCAAGATACAAGGTGCTGAGTTGTTTTTTCAGTAGATGGAGGTTCTTGTCATTTTCTCCTTTTTCTTTGAGCAATTTTTCTTTTTCATCTTTTAAATGATCCAAATCTTGCTCCAGTTCCACTATATTTTCCAGTTTTCTTTTTCTGCAATTCTGAGCAGCCACTTTATTCTTACCCCGCCTACGTATATCTCGAATTAATGCAAGCTGAGCCTCGTTGAATTGCTCCTTGGACATCATTTCATTGAAGTCATCAACAGGAAGGTTAATGATTTTTTCTACAGGGAATGGGATATGGAGAGCTTTTGCCCTTAGCTCATCTCTTGTGAGATGAGCCTCCAAGCGGTTTGAATGTTTGTCTTTTGTGAAAGGGGTTTTGCGATGACCGGGACTTACAGGCAATTCTTTCTTTTGTGTGTTTTCACACTGGGCATCACACGTTGGAGCACTGTGCCCCCGAGATGGTGACAGGGGTTGAACTATATCCCCAGAAGGCTGTACTGGCTGTGTTTTAGGACCACTGTGTTTGACACTCGAGGGGGCACTATCTATCTCTTCCATTTCAGAATCACTGAAACCAAGGGGTGTGTCTCCATAGATAGAAGACTCCACTGAGTGTTCTGGTGATGCCAAGCTGGGGCTGGTGTTCAGTGAAATGCCAGAGTCAGAATCATTGAATTCCGTGCTTTCAGGGTGGTTTTGATTGAAGGCTTTACAAAGTAATAGGTCAGAAACATCAATGGGCCCGTCGAGCAGTTCAGAGAGTGAATGGTTGAAAGTAGCAGAGGCGGACATGCTGTTGCTGTTACTGGGCTCTGCTATGAAGGCAGAATAAAACTCATCACCAAAATCTGTGTTTACTGTGACGTTTGAGTTTAAGGAGTTCACTGCCAACTGACTGGGGTCTTCTGTGGGGAGGACGCTGCTGCTGAAGGAGTCCTCAAAAGCACTGAGAAAATGTGGACCGCAGTTACTTACTTCTTTCTCCAGTGAAGGGGTCAATGAGTAGAAATGGTAACTGTTGTCAGCATCTGCCTGTTTGGTTTCTGGACTTGGAACCGTGCTAGGCTCACCCAGTTTGTCATTTTGAATATTAAGACACTGCATGGAAAAGAAGTTTATACTATGTAAATCAAGGTTACATATTTTCCATAGCTGACAATCTGTACCCGAGTAAAACTCCCCACTCCCATTTCCCTCCAAGCTGCTTTCTTCTCCAGTTCAGAGAGAACTCCGTTTTCAACAGGTATATTTATGCCCAAGCGTCCGCATGATTTTCAGAGTTTCTAGACCAACTGCAAGCCATCTGGCCCCTTTCACAGAATAGCATTTTAGTGAGCAGTGAACTGGTTGGAAAGCACCCTCAAACCCTTCCTATGGATAGGTGACATGTAAATAATAAATGACCAGAATGACTAATTTCGAGGCACTGAATATAAAATAGCATCTTTAGCATTGATTTTATTAAGATCTTAGTTACCTGTAATTCTGGAATGGATAATAATTCCTCCCAGACTTGCTCAGTGTCCTGCTGCATATTATCTAAATCACTGATCAGCTGAAGGATAAGAGGTTCAGGCGACTGATTCTGATTAGGAGCAATAAAGACTGGGTTCTCCGCGTGGCTGGGAACTTCAGGAACAAGTGACTGAAACGCAGCCGAAGAAACCTAAAATTGACAAGGCATTGCTCTGCGTGAGTCTGCCGCCAGCAGTGGGTGAGCGCCCTCCACCGCACGCCCCACCACAGCTCCTGACACTGACCTGGCTGCAGCTCTGCGTTCTTCTACTTTTATTTTTTTAATATTTTATTTATTTATTTTTAGAGAGGGGGAATGGAAGGAGAAAGTGGGAGAGAAACATCAATGTATGGTTGCCTCTCATGTGTCTCCTGCTGGGGACCTGGCCTGCAACCCTGACTGGGAATCGAACCAGCAACCCTTTGCTTCCCAGGCCCATGCTCAGTCCACTGAGCTATACCAGCCAGGGCTGCGTTCTTCTACTTTTGATTACTTACAGCCCCTATGTCTACATAAGGAAACATCTTTTTTTTCTTACCCAACTGACTCAAAATTTACTTCTTACTGTTTTGTTTTATCCTATACATTTCAAGGCAAACTTGAAACGGGTAAGAATAATCTTCAGGATTTAATCCATATCTATTAATAGAATATTAATGGTGCTTCAAACATAACAGGTTCACCAAAATTGTTACTGGAACCAGTTTTGGTGCAGAGCCCCACTCGCTCTACTCATCAGCCACTGCTTGTCGTGCTTCCTGCTCCACAGCAGAAAACATCCTCAGTTTTGTATCATGTTGGCTCTGTGAAGTTACGCTTAGGCCAAGGTTCCATTAACAAATTCCCTCCTAAAATGCTTTCCTTCGTTCTTTCTTAATGGAGAGACATTAAGGGGACACACATAGGATGTATTAGATGGAGCTGTGCAGTTGTTATGAACCAAGTGCAGTACCTCATTGTCGTCCACGAACGGGAATGTCTCTGCCAAGAGCTGCATGCAGTCATCGAAGCACAGGGCGTCTGGTTTGGGAATGTGCGCCGCCTGGGTGAAGGGAAACACAAAAAGGAGAAAAACTGTTTAACATTCCTAAGCTAAAGGTTCATGGATGAGGTTCCTAAAATGTGTACAGTCTTGTTAATCAAACGTTTCTTAGTTCAGAAACTTGTTTAGTGTCATAGTTAAGAGCACAATTGAACCAAACTGGGTACAGATTGGCTCCCCCCATTTCCTGAATGCACTGGGCAAGTTCTTTAACCTCACTGAGCTTCACTTGCTCATCTGTAGGTAAAATTGGGGTAATGACACCTAATTCACATAATCGCTGCCTTGACTGATTGGTCTATGTCGAGCGCCTTAGAACAGTCACAGTGCCTGTCACAGTCAGTACCAACGTAATCCCTGTGACTGGTCCCACTGCTCTGACCACCACTGCTGCCGCCTGATCCTCCCGTGTTGTTTCTATGGCTCACAGAGCCCTTTCTTGTGATTTATGTCCTCCTAATCCTTGTTACCGATGTAGGTCAGTCAGGTATCGAACTCGTCAGGAGGCTGCGGCTGGCAGTGACTGGACATGCTCATGACCCCACAGTAAAAGGCAAAGCTGGAACTCAAATCCAGATGTTCCAGCGCCTGGGTCAATGTTCTTTCCTTCCCAGGAGCTGAGTACTCCGTACCTGGGAGTAGTTGGCAGACCCACTGGTTTCTGACGGGATGTGCTGGGCTGGCTGAATTGGGAGGAATTCACCCGTCTCTTCATCTAGTTGTAACTGAGCGAAAAAGGCTTTCTCTTGCTCCTTTTGCAGTTGTTCTTGTCTTTCCTTTTCAAGTTTCTTCTGCTTTTCAAGCTCATGCTCCTTCTGTCGTTGACTGAAGTCAAACACTTCTCGGCTCACCCCCAGATCGATATCTTGCCTCCAAAGTATGTCAATCAAATCCATATCCTGCGTTCCAAAGAAAAAAGAAGGACAGAGACCACATTAAGATGGTTTTACACTGGCAGATACCACAGAATTCACCTTATGCTGTTGTTGCTGGGGGCGGGATGGGGAGTTATAAACAAAATCCGAATGGGACCCGCTGTTCTGGAAGGGCACAGTTAACCACTCAATGAACCTATTCGTTTAAAAGACAGCAAATAACCTACAAACACAGCCATCCATTCTAACCATTTATTATTTGCATTATTAATGGTGGTAGGGGTCATGACAGAGCAAAGTTAATAGATGTTGCACATTAAAGTCCCTGAATTAAAAGAACCCCCAAACTTGTTTGATGGAATACAAAAATTAGAGCCCTGGCTGGTGTAGCTCAGTGGATTGAGCGCGGGCCTGCAAAACAGAGAATCTCGGTTTGATTCCCAGTCAGGGCACATGCCTGGGTTGCAGGCCAGTTCCCAGCAGGGGACACATGAGAGGCAACCATACATTGATATTTCTCTCCCTCTCTCCTTCCCTTCCCCTCTAAAGATAAATAAATAAACATTTTAAAAAACTAGAGCAAGCACTCCAGGCCAATGGTTCATTATGAGAAATGGGATTTGAAAATCATGATTGAATACGTAGAATTTTTTTCTGAACCTGCTCAGCAAATCCAGTTTACAGAGTAGGGGGAAAAAACCCAAGTTAAACCATCAGTCTAGCAGTTGAGGAAAAGCACCAATTTTCTGGGTTTTCCTACATTGGCTTCTCTTTTCCTCATCAGTTCTTGCTACTCTGTGGCTCACTTACTAAAACAACTTCACCCTGACCTGAGTTTTATCTTCTGAAGCATGAGCAAATCAGTGAAGTCTTAGCTGATGGTCATCTTGTGACATGGGCCAAGTGAGGGGTTGCCTGTTGTCTACCCAAACAACAGGGGAAGGGACAGTGCCCACTGGGTTCGCTCCCCGGAAATCATAAATAGCCCTTAAACATGCACACACGTGGTTCCAGGGAAGGACAAACAGTACTCAGTTTTGAGATACTGGGAGAACCCCACAATGAGTGAATAGTTATTTTGGTTCACTCGTATATAAGGCTAGACCTGCTTTACAACTTGTGCATAGCATCACACTTTGTATTTCAGTTCTGCTGATGGCTGGAAGCACCAGGCTGGCTCAGTAGGTCTAGAGCTCTCCGAATTTCCGCCTTCCAAGGACAAAAATAACATACTTTTGGCTGCAATGAGTAGCCAGGCTATTTTTACCCAACAAAGGAGGAGCAGGCCACCCAGTCTAGAGCAACACAGCCAGCTGGGTGGTAGAGGCCACCCCTCGCTGTGACTGGAAGTTGGTGCAGGAATCTTATGAAAGCTGCCCAGGGGAGGTCATCACCATTCTGGCCCTGAACAGTGCGTTGCATGGTACAAAGTACACAGGGTAGGCAGAGTTAAAGCGGCACCTGGAGCTCTTCAGAACTGGCTAGGGTAAACCTGTGTTGAAACCAACGCCTATTAAGAGCTTTCTATATGGCAGGCATTGTTCAAAATACTCTGCATGTACAAACTAATCCTCGAAACAACCATATAAAGATCACATATATCCCTACTTTACATGTAAAAACAATGAGGGTTAGAGAGAAGGAAGACCACTAGGAAGGAAGTGGCTGGTCATGGACATGGACCTGGGCAGCCTCAGCCAGGGACTGACTCAAGCTTTTTTAACCACGAGCACACACTAAACATGTAAAATCTGATCATTGACCCCTGTTTCCTAAGTCAGGCAGGAAGTAAAATCAATCCACTCTCCCGGATACCTTGCCTTGACATGGTGGTGGTGTGGTATGAAGTAGCCAGTTTACAGAAGGCTGGATTAAGCACGTCACCTGGGTCATTTGCCTGGCCACGAGCAACAAAACAAGCAATGAAGCAGCATTCACGACTATCTTTTGGGGGGTGCCTCATTAAAATAAATTAAGAAAATAACTTCCATTTTTAAACGATTTGTTTCCATTGTAATGGGCATGTTTACGCAAAGGTGATGTGAAAGACAAAGGCCCAGGTATAAAGAAATCTACTTCAACATTGAGATTAGGTCGGGCCATATCTTCTTGGTGAATGTAGATGCAGCACAGTATCTTTCCTAGACATTTTTCCAAACTGGAGCTATCTGACCAAGGCATTAAGGAGGCAGGTGTTCAGTATACTCACATCTATCAAATGCTAGCACTAAAAATCAAAGGAATGAGTGCTGTCGCCATCTCAGCTGAACTCTAGTCCCTGTAAAACAGGCAGTACCTCTCCTATTCATCTCAACGACTAATGCACAACATGCACTGAGCTATTCAGAAGATCAATAAAGAGAAACCCAAATACTTGTCCCAGACCCTGGGGACCACTCTGACACATGCCTCCCCCGACCCCAGAATGCCTAAGGCCTGGGGCTTCTCCTGGTTAAGAGACTCCAGGATTGATGTCCAGTTTTGACTTTTTCATACTGAAACAGCACTGAAGGAGTTTACGCTGGAAACAACTGCTCACAAATCCAACCATTCCAGAGTATCCCTAGAGTGGTCGGAGGGAAATTTTGAATGTAGTTTACTCTAAAATTATCTGTGGCAATCACACCAAGAGTTAATATAACTGGGGTTTTCCCCCCTCCTTTTCCTCCTCACCAGATGAGATGCCTTGAGTGGGTTCAGATGGTTTAGCTGTAAGTTTAATATATTATTCCAACCTACCCCTAATCATACAGATGTTGGTGGATCTAAAGAGACACGTGAAAGAACTCTATAAAGGTAAAGTGTGTGCAAACACGGTTACGCATGTTGACAGTGGCACATCCTACTAATACCTGTAAGAGACCAAACTGCAGGCCACTGAATAACAATGAAGTCACGGACCTCACTGAGGTGGGAGCTTGAAATAAGGCAATGAAGCTATTTGGTTCTTTAGGGATGGTCTGAAATCAACTACAAGGCACGTGCAACATGTCCTGTTAAAAATAAATAACATGCACTTTTCTGTACACACACGGACAGATACCCATTCAATTGCTACTCAATTCCTGACATGACTACCCTTCAATGCACAGCTCCAAACCAATTCAATTTTTAAAAGTTTCCTGTAACATTGTCAGAAAAAGACATCTTGATGAATCCTTATCAATGCACAGGGAAGAGAAACCATGTAGTAGCATATGGGTTAGCTCTTGAGCTGAATACCCGATTATCTTATTATCTGATCTGAAACAATGGGGGACCTTCGCGACAGAGCACTCCTGCAGCCCTAGCTTCCTGTCTCCACCAAGAATGCCACCAAAAGATTTCCAAGTGCCATCGAACTGGGCAGCCCTCCCTGAGGTCGTAATGGGCCCAAACAGGCTTCCACGTGTTCTCAGAGGCCTCCCTCCGTGTCTCTGCTTGTTTTTCGGAATGTTTATTCTTGCTCTGAGAAGTCTCTGAAAGAAAACTTCGGCTTTAAAACTTTTTTTAAACAGTTGTTTTGATCAGATTCAGATTGCAGCAACAATGGGTTTTCTTGACACAGCCTTAATAAATAATACTCTGTTACTGAAATTTTCACCTAAGTTTCAAAAGAAAAAACCTGCAGGGATTTGATACTGTATAAAACACTCAAAACTTTATGTGGAAAATTAGGACAGTTTCACCTGACCAGTAGGGTCAGTTGGCTGGGTGTCGTCCCACAAAATGAAAGGTTGCTGGTTCAGATCCCAGTCAGGGCACATGCCTAGGATGCAGGTTCGATCCCTGGTCAGGATGCATATAAAGGGCAACCCATCGATGTGTCTCCTACATCAGTGTTTCTCTCCCTCCCTTCCCCTTTCTCTAAAAATAAATATATAAAATTAAAAAGAAAGCAAGGACAGTTTGTCCCACCCAAGACTCAGAGCTGGGAAGCCCCACAGGCTCAGGGCTGCGTCTGTCCTGTACTAACCTAACACTAGCGGACAGTGAGTGTTTCCTGTCAGGAGCCCTGTGACTGGGCGCATGACTTGTTCCACAGATGACCCATCCCTGCAAAGCTGAGCACCAGCTAGGAGGAAACAGTCCGGGTGGAGTGCCCAGCAAACACCACGACAGTGGTCAGCAGGGAGAGGAAGTGCGTAAGGAAGAACTCAAACTGCGCTGCTGCGCACAAATCCCAGGCGGTGAGGAAGCGCAGCCGCCCCCGCCCGGGCGCCCCCTCCGAGGCCCCAGGGAGGAAAGCTGCTCTGCACACTGGCAAGTGAGGCTGTGGGGAGAGGGAAGGGGGGGGGGCGGGATGGGACGGGGAGGGGAGGGGCGGGGCGGGCGGGTTCAGTTTGCACAGCACCCTGGTGGGTATTTCTTTAAGATGTGAAAGTTTTCGGAGGGCAAGGCGGGCGCTGGCTGGGAGCCTTCACATGCCACGTGGAGCAAATGCCCTGGCGACTTAGTCTCTGAGTCCTTATTGTTGTCCCTTAGTGATTCCTTGACTATGTTTCAAATTATGTTACTGGCTTGGCTTAGACAAAAGACAATTTAATAAGAAATATAAATGTTGGACAATTTGCATTAAATCGCCATCTGGCCCAAAGGAAATACTCATATTTAAAATGTATGTATCATCATTTGCCATCTGGGTAATCTGTTAACATGTTTCATGGGAACTCAGAATTTGGACAAACCATTTTGAAACAAACACCTTTGTTCCAGGATAAACAAAGAAGAAAAGCCTTGCACACAGAATCCCGTACTAAATATATTTTCTTGCAAGCTAATTTCAGTGCCTAAACAAAACAGCATTATCATACTCAGAAAATAAAAAAACAGAACATACAAAGCAAAAGTGAAAATACCAGACATCACAATCCTTTCCTAAATTAAAGCAACTCAGTAAACTGAGGCTCTGGCAAAGTATGTGAAATGAAAAAGAAAATGGCTACTGTCATAAATGCCCACGTGTGAATGAGGACTGCACCCTGCAGTTCCCTGCCCCCCTCCCCTCCCTCGCCCGTCCTCTGCTTTGTCCAAAGAATGGCAGG